TCAGCGGCCTTCTAACTAACCCAACTAACCTTCGGTCCACTTGGAGCAGGTAAATTAGTGCTAGACCCTTCCCAAAGAATGCATTTCAGTCTTAATCGTCATTTTGTGCTTCACCTTCTTGTCCCTCCTTTGCATGTCTTCGAAGTTTCGGAACAGGGGCACGTTCCTCTCCAATCGTAGGCCTCTTTGGTGATGCGTCTCGTTATTTGTCATGTTCCGCAAAGGAGTCAACCAAAGTGAAAAGCCAACTGTCCGAATGACTTCGCGCATGCGCTGGGATGTGCCCTTACCTTTAGACACGTGTCATAACAATTTGCATTTTAAACTGGCTGTACTTCCAGACGTTGTACGCTTCTTAAAATAGCCCGAATAATAACCAACTCTGGCCGGTCAGGCCTTTCCATGAGATGGCGCGTGCGGTCGCGACGCGTTGGACCGCAACGCAACCGCACGGGTCTTGACATGCGAATTACTTTGTAGAGGAACGAAGCTGTATTGTCAGTATTAAGTTGTTTATTGTCGTATGTGATGTTGCAGAATGCTAATTCTCTTCTTGTTACTCGCATATGGCGAGGCCCTTATGCACATCCGCGATCCGTCTACATGGAGACCAATCAATCGACTTAGAAGCCGCTAAGAAATCACCGTATAAATGGTCTGAAGAGTGGCTTGACTCAGTGCCTCTAGATCATTTCTCTTTCGGCAACAAGGGACCAGTTCAAGCTGCGGTTGGTTGTGGTTCTGAAAGGCCATTTTTTCACAGATTTACTGTTCTTTGACAATTTCTGTAATCGAGATTGAGTTTTTAAGATATTTCATCAATACTGACACAGTTATGAAGAAGGTGGCCCGATATTCTTCTATACAGGAAATGAAGGCAAACTGGAGGGGTTTGCTGAAAACACGGTCAGTTTGTCCAATAACACAGAAAACTTTCAATCCTTGCCGCCCTCAAAGGTGTACATACAGACCGTGAATTCTTAACTCCCACCAGATGCGCGCCACGGGGCTTCGTCATCAGTCATGAATGCTTGAGCAGAGTGGTTGTATGCACTAAAATTCTTGTCTAGACCTGAAGCCTGATTGGGAGCTGGGGAAAAGGGGAGCAATTAGTGGCAAGGCAGGCCACATCCCCTTTTCTATTCACTAGGTATGAGGAAGTGTTCAGCACACTAGCCTAGAGACACCTTCTGCGTCTGCAAATCGTGGCTACTGATACACACATACGAATTTATGACCGCTAATTGGCTAATTGTGATGGGAGACGACAGCGAAACTGTCGATTTACAACCCTAATAAGGCTCAGGAAGTTCACCGTTGGACGATTATGTGGCGAAGAGAGACACAGAGAGCGCAGACGAGAGACACAGTTGGTTCGGGTGGAGTTTCTGACAACAGCAAATTCCTAGCCGCGCACTATTCAGAAATGACACCTACCAGTGCAGTGAGGACCTGTGCCCTCTCTACATTTTGAGAATTTTCACGTCTCAGGCCATCGCGGAACCTAATGAAAAGGGTGCAGACGAGCACAAGGTGGGTGTAGCCTTGCCTCGCCAACTCTCCTACCATCACCTTAGCACCCTTGATTAACACATTAAGCTAGCTCTTGGCCGAAGGCCTCACACGAATGGGCACAGAAATGAGCTCATCGTAAGTGGAAGCCCAGTAGCTAAATCCTGGTAGGCAGTCGGATTTCGATATCTCACGCGAATGTTCAACTTTTCAGGGTTTTATGTGGGACATAGCACCGGAATTCCACGCCGCTGTGGTTTTCGCCGAGCATCGATTCTACGGAAAGACACAACCATATGGCACAACCAGTTACAATACTACTGATCATCTAGGATATCTCAGCTCAGAACAAGCGCTTGCCGATTTTGTGCTGCTCATTGATTATCTTAGACAGGAGGTAAAGTTTATCATGTTGCACGAGACAGAGTGGAAATAAGCCCCGACAACGCACAGACGGCGCTCATGGCTTTGCGTTTCATGCCTTGCTCGTTGGTAACCTCCTGAGTAGTTGAAGTGCATGGCGCAACCTGGGGAAACCAGTCGAATTACAGGATTACTTACTGATTTTTTTACAGAGAATACCTGGTGCCGAAAATTCTCCCGTGATCGCTTTCGGCGGTTCATACGGTGGGATGTTGGCCGCATGGATCCGAATCAAATATCCACACAAAGTTGCTGGGTTCGTGCTATCGCTCTTACCCCGTCTTATCGACTCTTGTATTGAACAATTTTTATTGATTAAACTATCGATTAGTCACTAAGTACATCCTCCTACTTCAGGGCGATTGCAGCGTCAGCACCAGTGTTCTGGTTCGTTGACTCGCATGTTCCAGAAGATATCTACGCTAAGGTACTTATAATTTGTTTACTTCTATTTCGAAGCTTTATTTTGCAGTAGACTATAAAACGAACCATGGCGCAGCCACTTGGACGGGTCACAACATAGTGGTAATTTGGTCTTCAAGCAGATATGATGCATACT